AAAACTCTGCTAGTTGTTGTTTCCCTTCCTGTGTTTACCGTTAAGCCACCTGGAAAGGTTTCTGTTTTTACTGGAAATACTTTGACGTTAAACTGCAGCGCTACTGGTGATCCACGACCAGTCATCAGCTGGAAAAGACAAGAAGGAGCACTGCCTGTGGGGAGGAGTGATAGAACAGAAAAGGCACTAACGATAAGAGATTTGAGAGAAGAGGATGCTGGGATCTATGTTTGTGTGGCTACAAGTGCAGGAGTGTTTCCCATCGAAGCAATAAGTTCTGTTGAAGTTGAGCTGGTTGGTATCGGTAAGCTATAAAAGCATTTTTTGGATTTGCCGCAAAGAGTGATATATCTATTAAAATTATTAACTCAGTGCATTTTTGTAACAAGCAATCTGCACCGTCCCTTTGCCACTTGCTATCAACAGGACATAACTGACAACGATGGAGAACAAAGTAGCGATTATACCTGAGAGTGCAACGGAAAAGGATCAAGGGACTGATAAGTGTCTGAATCTAAGACAATGTTAAATACACTGACAGGCATAAAACATTTTTTAAACACTGTATATGAAACAAAAGTTTAAGCGGAAGGACAATTCTAAGTCATAAATTCTCTTGACTGGTCCTCATTGTGATTAAAGGCTCACTGGGTTTGAAAATGAATAGAGGCAAAAATCTGACCATCAACACTAAATAAAATTTCTAGAATCAAACTCTTTTAACCCTCGAACGTGCAAGGGGGCAGGGATGGATGCCACCCCCCCCCCCTCCCCTTCTCCCCATAATTTTTTTTTTTAAATTTTTGCTGAAGACGATTTACTCTAAGGGGCTGAAACTTTCAGTGGGTTTTTCTTCATTCTCTGCTGAAATTTTGATATGTCACTGGCATGTCCATCATTTTTGAGGTTGTCAACTAACCATCAAATTTCATGTAGGTCTGGCCAAAACTCAACATTTTTTTTGAGATAATTGACGTGATGAATGGTAAAACTTGTATCCTACGTAGATCCGTTTTATCCTTACTTTATCTAGTTTG